ATCTGATTTTTTTTTTTTTTTTTATGCGTAAAGGTAAAAAAAAAAAAAAAATAAGATTGCTACTGCATGAAACCAATTAATAATAAATGGCTATCTGCTTGGCCAAACATATGTATGTGCGTACGTACAGTACATGCGTATAGTGTTTCTTGAAATCATAGTTCGTGCGATCAAAATAAAAAGGGTATTGCTATTTTTAACGTATACGTACCAATTGCTATTTCAAAGTTGGAAATAAACAAGAAACCTTGAGATGCAATCTTCGAGGCAATATCGCATAAAAATAGTTGCAATGATGGTGATAGATATTGCTGCGTTCTAACGTGTAATGTAAACAAGATGAACAATGTCCACAAATAATGCATTATCGACCTTACCGATATGCTAGTGCCTTAATTTACATACGTGCGTAAATAATAAATCATGCGACCCCTCCTAATGTTCGTGTGGAGCACAACACCAACTCGTGTGCGTCATTAAAACCCGGGCACCACAACAAACTCTCTCGCGAGGATGCAAAGAATCATCCGCTTATTCAGAGGAGGTGGGCACTAGCGAAAAGGAAAGAACATCCGCGCTTGTGTAAACAACGCAATGCATCAAATTCCTCTCATTTAAAAATTAATTATTAAATCCACACCCGGGTAAACGATTCTTCTCGTCATACGACCCATGCCCATAATTTATGCACGACTTGCTCTCGTGACACATCGTGCATGGTCATATGAGCGTGGTAAAAGAAAGGAAGGAAATCAGCCCAGAATTGAGATATTCTTTCATTGATACCCCGCTAATGATATAATGCACATAGTCAGTCATATGAGCAAATTAATTTAAATTATGTGCGTCATGCAATATGCGTAGTTTAGATAAGAATACTTACTAATGATTGATGTTTCTTGTTGAAAGACACACGGCACAAGCGTCCCTCCCCTCCCTCCCTCCCTCCCTCCCTCCCTGCCTCCCTTATTAATGAACAATAAGCGGTCGTTTCCCGTGTTAAATCATATTTAACCTCATATTTGGTTATTGGACGAGTGTGACCCGGTTTTGGAATGGATGAGGTGGGTGATGCATTTTTTCTCGTTTTCTTCAGGACCGATTGATCGACATTCTGGGGAACTGGAGCAACATAATGCCTAACTCCTTATAAATAAGTTTATTAGATTGACAGGTCCAAGATCTTGATGCATTACTTGTGGAGTACGTACAGTACGTACGTAAATATATTTTATGCATCGAAAATCTTATTACATTGTGCAGTCTGATTCGACTTTGGCGCTTCTTATTCCCACCCAAAGGTTTCAAATCATACCGAAATTTTTTATTTTGTTTGCACCATTGTGCGTATGAGAATTTTTTTTTTTTTTTCCTTTTCATTAACCGTGTATGGATTTTTCATTTTCCATCGATCACACATGAAATTTGGCTTTTGGTGCTAAATAAAACTTTGTTTCAGATTTATCAAATTTACGCCCGAATTTTGTTTGTCCGCTAATTAGTGATCCCGTTTCAATAAAAGGATCGTGTAATAAGTAAAATATTGGTAACGCGTAGGGACGAGGAGAACCACACGCCTTACGTTCCCCCCTGCCTCCGCTCCTTCCCCCAAAAATCATTTCATTGGTACGGTGCTAACCACAACCGACTAATTTGTGGATCACGTGAATTACCTTGTCAAATTAATGGATCCTACAGTATTGCGTTCGTACCTTGCCATATTCGGGTTCCATTATACATCTGTGACACGAGATTGCATGCGACCTATTTTGTTTTTTTATTTGACAGACCTTTTTGTATTGGCGTCTGGTCCAAAAAAAAAAAAAAAAAAACAAAAGTCGTCACCTCCAACCTTTATTATAAAAATTTCACGTTCGATTACTTAATATAAATATTAACCTGCTGACCAATGGGATCCGCTGACATTTTTGTTCTACTTTGTTTTCCACGCAAACATAACGTTTCAACATGTAAACAAAAAAAAAAGTGGAGGAAAAATGAAACACGATTAATAAGAATTTTTGATTCATAAACAAATGCGGAAAATATTTATTCATTAATTAATTTCTAGGATTATGTTTTACACGTCATGCTTAATAAATTTATTATGTAAATGGTGCTCTCTTTGCTCTCATTATTTCGCCAATATTTGCGAGCTGACGACGATGATTGGTCTGTTTTACGTAACGCACCGAAAGCCCATCCTGTGCGACGAAGAAACTCGCACAACAGTAAACTCAATGCGTACGTAATAAATTTGTCAACACCAGTTAAACACTCACCGTAAGTGTGTGAAGTGTGTGTAGCCGATTTATTCTTGATACCAACTATAAATGTCGGTCTTAAAGTAAAATTGTTTTTTTCCCCGCTTTATTACATAAAATAATTGAAATAACAAACCCATTTTATAATTGCTAAATAAAAAAACAAACATGCAAAAGAAAAAAGAAAATTTTCACAAAAGTTGACAGCCAAAATATTTATTGGTGTTGTTTTTCTTTCGACGCTCATCATTTACCCAATTTGAGCGTCACACGCCTACCGGAACTAAGCCCATTTGGAGTTAACAGTGCCGAACGATTCGCTCAGGGGATTCCAAAAAAAGTTCTCATCATAATTATCACAATTGAATTTTTTTTTCTGCCAACAATGACTCACCATTACGAGCCAGGATTTTTTTTAGTCCCGAAAAAAAAAAAAAAAAAAAAAAAGGCTTGTTGTGGGCTTGCCTCTTTTTTTTTTTTATTGTATACACACTAATCTGGTGATGATAAAACCGATCCAGTGATCTCTACCATGTTTAGCGATATTTGAAGTTCGAAAAGAGTTTGGTGAGGCTGCAAAAGAGGTTATTCAGGTTTCGAATGAGCTATTTTTTTTTTTTTTTTTTTTTTGATACTCGGATTACTCGAATAAATGCAATTTGTGTGAAATGCTTTTGGTGACACCGAGGATGCACCCTCTTTGCTTAGCCGGTGTTACAACGTTTACCAGATATTCGGAATACCCCGCTATTTCATTCATCCGATCGCATTGTTCTATTGAGATGCTTATGTTTAGAAGGAAGATGAGATTCTAAGAATCCCCTGTCCTGCTAAAATCATGAAATCCTCAGAAAGCGTTCTTCTCAAAAGGCACTTACATGCATCTACTACGGAAAAAAGTTGCGTGTTACTATTACTTGCCTGCGTACCTGCGTACCTATTTGGTAATATCATCGATCCGATCGTTACACGAAACTTATCAATTAATCTCATGATTCTTTTTTCTTTTTTTTTATTTTGTTGTCGTTCTTCTGTCTGACGTCCACGTGAATAAAGGTTTATGGCACTTGATCAAACTGTGGGGCGTTGTTGTAGTAACCTTCTTCTTTCTCTTTTTTTTTTTTTTAAACGCAAACGCCTTTGGGTTACTATTTTTATATTTGGCCGTATTCAGTTGCTACGAGTGCACACACACGTACGTACGTATGTATGTACCAAAAATGCGCGGTAGCCCATGAACTTGCATAATTCGTGATATAGTTGTAGCCACAACATTGCATGCATTAACAATATACTGTTTGAATCAATTAATTATGGCAATGCTTCTTATGGTTCATAAATATAGAACAAGAAATTGAAGGAATCCCTTTGACCAATTGCGTTCCAGGCTCATCTATTAATAAGTAGATGAATGTGTGTCATCCCGAAAATTTTTTTTCATTGGAATCTCAAGAAAACACGTCAATGAGCAATTTTTTAATTAGCCGAGCTGTGGCACAACGCGAAATAAACAAAAATAGATTCCGAGGTAGTAATCGAACAAACCACGTTTCATGTTGCTCACAATTGTGACGACGCGACTAGTTTCGGAAATCAAGATCTTCCTCTTTAGTCCCTCACACCGTCCATCTGTTTGATGACCGAGTTGCACACGATTTAATTTCATGAGAAACGTTTTGCCTGTGGGATGACTTGATGCGTCATCAGGATAGTTCAGTCATTATTATGCGAAGGTAGGAAAAATTAAAGAACATTTACTCGGCCCAACGATCGTCAAAATGTTGAACCAATCCGATGCCCAAACCAATAAAAAATAATTCCCTCTAAATTTGTTTCCAGCATGACCTCAACAGCCACACGACTCTCAATCTCTTCTCAGTTGCAATTCCTATTTATGGGATTTTGATTTTTGAACACAAGAATGACAGTGGGCCATTTGGTGAATGGTGACGATTTTTAATAATCGTTGGTCATCTGATTAGTAATTCCTCGGGGGGGGAATGAAATTACTCGACTTGTGACGGCGGAATTTGGATCAATTTACGTAAGACCGACTAGGTGTGTCACCAACAATTGCCGACAACATCTTCGGATCTCGCAATGACGCCAAAGCGAGAATGACCAATTTTTGATTCGTGAATATTTAACCCTAAGAATTAATTTCCTTTTCTGCGTGTATACCCCAGCAAAAACTGAACACGCACGGCTTTTCCTGTATTCTGACGATCCGTGAACTCTTAATTCGACCTCTTAACCAATCATGAGAAAAATGAATTTTACTTGACTTCTAGAAAAGGTCCGTAACAATCTCATTTAAACACCCAATAAATACTGTATTTGATCGCTTAAAAAAAAAAAAAAAAAAAATTTTTTTTTTTTTATGTAGTAAAATGTATACACATATAATATTTCCAATTTATAACGCATTCGATATTAATGACGACATCGAATTCGCAATATAAATATATGTATATATTTACATGTATATATTACAATAGCCGGAGTTTTTTTTTTTTTTATTTATTTATTTACACAACATTTCCTCGACTATATATACAGCAAATGCTATATAATAGCATCGGAAATTTATCGCTGTAAAGTTCAAGTATAAAATTCGCCAGTTTCCGCCTGAATTCTTTTTTTTTTTTTTTTTCCTTCTGTTTCTTTAGCTACTCTTTCAACATTTGATCTCTCCTCCTAAATCAGTACGACGCTATAACTTCAACTCTCTCAAAGATGCAATGTCCCCCGAGTTTCTTTCCTTTACCCCTCGTTGATGGTAGTGATTTGTATTTGCCTAACATAAGTGTTGGCGCCGGTGCTGGAAAGACCGAAGATCTGGTATGCGGTTATGACAATAGCAATAGTGTCATGGTGAGTGTAAATCTCTTGGAATGATGACAAGAAAAGGGGGGGAGAAGAGAAAAAGAAAAATTTTTTTTCTTTTCTTTCTTTCTTTTTTCGAAAGAAAAAGAGGCCACAATGTCTAACCTAAATATCGTATCAATTTCAACAGTACAACACGGTTCCTGTCGAGCAGGTGCTGCCGTATCCTAACTTGGTATGTCTTCCCCGCCAAAATTTCCTTTGATAGAATTTAATAATCTCCGCCGTGATCTGAACCTTTCCATCTTCTGTTTTAGATGACACCGCCGCTTCCCTCCCCCACCGAAGTTGACCTAAAACCACTAATCACCGAAAAATATCACGCATTTCCGTCCCCGCCTATGGTAATTAAATTTTTTTTTTAAAAAAAAAATATATATATATATATGCATACTGTATACAGTATATATATACAGCATATAATAGTCGCTTTCTCTCCCTCTCTCGTTGGTGTTAATTTATGCATATATATTTTTAGTGCTTGATCAACCAATTGTGCCCAGAACAATTCCGGGACGTCGGTTCAACGATCCCAAACCAAACAATCGCCGAAGTTAGGCATCACCCATTATCCCCACCCACTTCTCCCCCTCAAATCGAGACAAAAAAACCAGAGATCAGGAAATCCGTGGAGAGTAAAAAACCAGTTGAGGTATCGTCTCCGCCGTCCATCAAGGATGAAAACAATGAAACGGTCGAGGAATTTAAGGATGAAAAGAAAGACGACGAAGCTCGCACCCTCAATCCAAAGCAATACCCTCGTATTCTCAAGAGAAGAATTGCTCGTGAAAAATTCGAAAGACGACATGGTTTCTCCAAGAAGAGAAAGGTAAATTCTTTCGCGCCTTTTTGTGATGCCATTTTTTTTTTTTTTTTCTTTGCTCGGCCCGGAAACTCATTGGTAACAATTTCTCAAACCCTTCAGCCATACATTCACGAATCTCGTCATGCGCACGCAATGCGTCGTCCTCGCGGACCGGGTGGACGATTTTTGAACACTCATGAGAATATGAATACAAGTGGACGCCAAAATTTCGACACTTGCCACAACTTCGACCCCTCTCTTTCATACGTACAAGCGGAGTACCCTGACTACTACCAAGGACCTAACGGTGTTTTCTTCCCAATCCAAAATCCAATTCAGGAAGTGAATTGGAATGCCGCCGTAGAGTCTTACAATTACGAACAAAATTTCTATGAACCGAGCACTGTCAACACCGTTTTACCTCTCAACAACTTTAACAATCAACTCAACAACCCCGGGACAGCGTACGCGTCGTTGATCCCATCCGATTCATTTGGACCATTCATTCGCTAAAAAAATTTCGGGCAAAATCTATTTTAAAAAACTGTATATAGAAATCCGATTCGTTTCTTCTTTTTTCGTTTTCCCCTTAGAAAAAAAATTGGCATTCAAAAAATTGGCATTTCAAAAATTGGCATACAAAAATTGGCATACAAAAAATTGGCATCAATAGACTGGCATTTTTTTTTTTTTTCTTTCGGCATGTAAATTTTTTTCCCCTAAAAAATTGGCTTCTTCCATTTCACATAGATTTTTACACTCACATATTTATATTTATTTTTTTTTCCTAAGTGATAAATAGTTTAAAGTATATACGCATATAGATTTTTTTATTTTTTTCTCTTAATTATCCATCATCACCTCCATCCCCAACATAAGATTTTTTTTTAAAGAAAGAAAAGGTTAATTCCACGATTATAATGACGATGTTTTAAAGTCACCAAAATAAACAAATATGCTTTCCAACAATAACGTTCGAAATTATAACAGCTCGACTTAAAGTAGACTCCTTAGAATTTGAATAATTTAATACTACCATTATTTTTATTATTATTATTTTTTTTTTTTTATTTTTTAATTTTTTAATTTTTTTATAATTATGTGCAGGCGAAAAGTAATCTTCGGCGAAGGAGAAAAGAAAAGAATGTAACAATACAGTAATAACAACTCCTTTAGCTTTTTAATCGATAATAATAATGAAATAAAATAATAATACGTAATGGTAATAAAAAAAATTTTTTTTTTTTTGCGACTCGTGAGATTATCTTTGGGTGTTGATTGGTCTTTCCGTCGGTTCGCAGCAAACACAAGAAACTAATTCGATCGATCGCTTACACTGCTGCATCCTAAAATGATGCAAAGGAAAAATGAACATTATTAACGGTAGATTTTATAAATGTGGGCGATACACCGTATATCCTCTCAAAGCTCTGTGGGCAATACAACGCCGTAAGGCATCTAACTCATCAGTCCGTTCAACTGAGCCAACAGTGATTCATCTATTCGATCAAATATTCGTGCGCCACCGTTGAGGGCTTCACATTCGCCGAGCTTCAATCGAATGAATTGAGCCAGATTCGTGGTGTGCACGGGATCCCTCTGCAAAAGCTGACAAGAGTTTTGTAAAAAATCTTTTAGAATGGGAGAATAATAATAATAACATAACAAATCGCATAATGTGAAACTTGTAGGTGTCTGCCTGACGGAAGGCATACCGTTCTTTTCCTCTTCGTCTCCGGTGTGTCATCAATATCATCCGTCGTCCCAATAGAAATATCTTCCTGCCAGTAGACCAATGCACTATAAAAAGAATATCGAGGGAAAATTTGATTTGAATATGCGCGTCTTTTGTAATCATCGCATCGAGGATCACTTACTCTCCACCCCCCGACTCTTTAACTTCACTCAGCACGTCCCCCCAAACGCCAACAAACAACGGTAAGTATCCCAGAATTATCGGATTTGTCGTGGAGATTAACATGGCGAAAGCCATCGCATTTAATTTCCTCTGCTTTGGGTGACCAATGTTGTCAAACTAGTGGATTTATAAGACTCTACATCAAACTGTTGCGAAAATGCGTAACAGATATCAATCCATCACAATCTACCTTGTCCACCCACACATCGAGTATCACGTTTAGCAGATGTTTGTCCGTATACACCGGACCTTGTTGCCGGCCGGCGACATTTATGAAATTAATGACAAACTCGGGTTCAATAAGAACCACTCTCGCCAGTAGCGACATATAGCTCACGAGAATATACGCGTAATCCTATTTTTGAAGGGATCGTGAGATGCTCCGCAACGATGACGCACCATAAGTTGATTAACACCGTGCCTCTCCTATCCCACTTACCCCGGACGGGTTAACCATGGGCTCTATCAGCTTTCCCAATAAACCCGTGTTAACGATCGCCTCGCCTAATGATGAGAAAGGGCACGCCTGAAATATGGTGTCGAGAAGATGTACGATCGCGCGACACGCTTCTGGTTTTAAATCTCCTAATAATTGTGTGAGGTTATTCATGATCGGATAACAGTATGACTAAAATATGATAGGTGTAGTTAAATCAATAGATGGTTGTGAGGGTGAAAGGGATGGATTAAATCTTGGCACACCTGAATGACCATGTCCGGCACCAAAATAATAAAGCTTTCAAGAATTTTCAAAACTTTCTTGAGGATTTCCGTTCCAAACTCCAGAAAACTGATTGCCGAAGGGACAAGACTGAACAGGCCGGACGTACATTCAACCGAATTTTCAATTACGGCAAGCCAAAGATCGAGTGCATCCTCCAAAAGATAAATATGTTCCTCCTGAACCAGAGAACGGTGATGACATCTTGGAATCACCATGCGCAAAAGTTGATAATGACGAAGGCTCAGCTTACGCGAAAAGTTAAACTTACGATATTTGGATTCACACTGTATTGAATGATGGGTATCACGAAGTCGTGAAGATTCATAGATTCGTTCCTCAAAGCCTTCAATTTATCATGGAATGAAGAAACGCACCGGACATAATCAGATCTAGGTCTAGAAATTTGAAATATTGACGTTGAAACAATTGAACTCACCTGAACGAGCTTGGTCAATATCACGAGGATGGCTGGCTTGAACAAATGCTCGTCTTGAGCAGCTTGCCACAAAGGGGGCAATAAGCCTGTTATCTTTCCAGCATATGGTGCAATCTACCAATCCCCAAAGACATTTGATAAGATCTACATTATAAATTACTATTTCTCTCACATGTGCATAAAATTCGACCAACCAATTCTTCCATCCTCTCAACGATTAGTGACAAGCAATTAAGAATTTTCATTCTGCTGTCAAACTGTTCCACCTCCCCGATCAGACGCGTCAATAATGTAATTGATCGATCAAGATACGGAATAAAACCATTCGAGTCAAAATCCCATTCGTCCACGCGTGCTGAAAAGAAAGTTAAGGCAAACTTTATCTTTTTCTTTTTGTGTTTGTGCGCACTAAGCAAAGCAAGGATATAATATCTTAAGTTTATGGCGGCTGTCATCCGGACCACCAAGTCTTCTTCCGGTTTCAATAGGTACGTCATCGCGTCGTACACTTTAGGTCTATTCTCTTTTGATATTCTGACGCACACCCATCTTCCGATTACCCAAGCGATTCGACGACGTATTATCCTAAAGCTGAAGGTGCAAAACGATCGACTTAACTACCATTAAACGGCAATAAAGACATCTCATTTCATTCTTTTAATATGCGTTTCACACCTCGGATCACTGTTTGCTATTTCCACCAAAAGATTGTTCACAAGCCAAGAATCAAAGTCAAGCTCATCATACAATTCGTGTGCCCCGAGACCAATGGCACAGTAAATTGCGTCTTTAAGTATTAGGTTGCTTGTTTGTGAAGCTATTCAGTGGGAGAAAAAAAAAAAAAAACAAAAGATTAAAAACTGTGAAGTGACATAAGTGAAATATTACTTGTGATAATGATTCAGAAAGTGCCAGGCTCAGTCTGGCATTTTAATCATTGACTATCACGTCTAAGAAGACCGTCGTGAATGTAGAGTTTCATCATCAAACCATGAATGAAATAAAGTTTTGGAATAAGATACTTACGAGCTGAAACAAAAGATACATATAAAGACGATTAATAGTGATGATAATCATTTAATTGCGGATGGCCGATGTGCGGGACAAGAAATAGCGACCTACATGCGAAATTCTCGAGTAATTTGACTATTTTTGTCGATAAGGAACTGCGATACTGGGATAATAATTCCATGAAAACCTTTTCCGCACAAGGCTAGAACGGATGCAAAAAAAAAAAAAAAAAGATCGTAACAAATAGATGAAACGATGGGAAATTGGTTAACACCCAAAGAAGAGAGGCGAATTACCCTTAGCTGGTACTCCCAATGATCGGTTTCATCGTAGTTAATCCATCCTTCCGGGTCATCATCCCACATTTCCAAGTCCTCCTTCTTTAGACTGATCAAATCCGTGATCAACAATTCAGCACACGATTCAACTATATTGGAAGTCAAAATCTGCTCATCGACTATCCTGATTGCCTTGACTATTTTCTCATCATTTAATTCTTCGAAATGGCAAAGAAATTTCATGTCATGATTTCGTTGTCGAATGATAACACGAGATTAGATAATCCCTACCTCTGAGGTCTTGATTATAAGATGTTTTTCGGATCAAGGCCTTCAACAATAATAATGCTTGCACCATAAATTTTTCTATGATACTTAACTTGACAGAATTATCTATCGATAAGCCAGATTATTAATTTAATTACTAGTGACTACTGCTCTCAGGCCAAAAGATCCATACATGCTACCTTTCTCATAAGACTTCCCATACGTAACAAGCAATTGCCAATAAAAATGAATAACATCAGTGGATCTCGGCGTCATAATGAACGCTACTGTGTGTGTCTTTATCAAGTCAATGTACAATTTTCCTATTAATACAATATGCGATTTGGCAGAATCCAGTGTAGGAGACGTGTTCTCCTGTAACGCATTTCCTGTAAGAAGTAAAATTCCTCGTGAGTATAAGCGCAGAAATTATTTAATTATCATAGTAGTATATACGTACTCAACGTATGAAACTTTTGCAAATGTTCAAATATCAAAGAAAAGAAATCCTGATTGCAGAAAATTGCATCGATACGTCCGGAGGCAAATGAATGAGAGTTTGAGAAAGTTAATCAGAATTCAAGAAAAATAAGTAAAGTTAAATACTCTTGTCTCTTCGACTTCGCTGATATCCTTGAACCCGTGAACAATCAATCGTCGTATGCATTTCAAAGCTGACAACGAAGTTTCTAGATCCGTAGTGGTTCCAACATCATTTGATGAGACCATTGTAAAGAATCGATTGACATGTTCGACATATATGCTGGCGACGTTGCGAAGTAATTCCGGCGCAATCTTTTTTGGTAAATACGATGGAAACGATATGTTTTTTGTTAGATGAATATAAAAAGTGTACGCTATGGATATAAGTTCACACGTAATGAGAGATCTATTAATGAAGGGATAAACGAAAATCTCAGTTAAACATGAATAAAAACCTGCTCTAGCATTTTCCTATCGGCCACGATTGTCTTAGAACACAGGGATTTGATGGTCAAGTGTAATGTGAGTAATGCTCGCTTTTGTATTAGCATGTTCCGAGGACTTGAGGGGGGTGATAGTGTGGAATGAATAATAGACAAGAGATTCTGAAGTAAATCCGGCCTTTTATCGATGTCGTCATCAATGAAATAGAGGCATTTAACTATATATAAGGATTAAACCGTACCGTGAATAATGGCGATTTTTACTAACCATTCATTCGGATAATCTAATCTTGCAATCTTTGATACCATTACGGCATATTGAGTTGCTAGCTAAAATTTTACGATAAAAGATTGGTAAATTTCTAAACGTGTGTTTCTAAAATAATGTTAACTAACCTGATTAAATTCTTCATCCATGAAGAGTAAAAGTTTTGACCTTATCTCCGCCTTCTCGGCGGCATTTATGGCGCTATCATGGTGATGAAAAGTAAGCATTCTGACAGATCAATATAACTAATGACATATCTAAGGATTCCTACTTTTTTGCAGACTTCCGCCAGTACCGATCAATTCCATGCTTAAAGAAAATGGCCCCCAGAAATCGAATATTAGCGTCTATCGACCTATCAAGGATTACATCCTAAATGATTGTGTCAATTGCCAGTAATGAAACACAATGAAATTAAATGTTAGTTTTCTATCTCTCTAGTGTAATGGATATATAACTAGTTTTTGTAATTCTAAAGGATCGAATTTGAATCAGAGATCGATTTCCCATAATCATCATTATAAAAAAGAGTACTTTATTTACCAATATTGAAGGAACCACAAAGTCGAACAGTTGAACAAGAAAGCCGAAACATTAGAAAGTTAAAAATGATTTTATCAAAGAGAAGATAGATATCACGTATATATGGATCGGGATTTTGTAAAATATCTCAAATGCGGCAGAGAAAAAAACTCAATTTTTACTCGAGTACGGGAAAGGGATAACAAAAATTCCTGCTATAAAATATTTTTTTCCCGATAACTCACCAACAAAGTTGAATAGAACTTTGACTCAACTTCCCACTGCTTAAGTTGAGCTTCGGCTGCCTTCATACGTTCCGGCTGTTGTGAAGCCGCTTCGGATAAAATCGTAAGAAGTTGGTCGCGGGCTGAAGCCATTTTAACAGTCAACACGAAGAAGGTTTATCCGTATTTATGTTGATCTATTCTTTTCCGTATATATCCGAGCACAATCGGGATATTTCGTCACCATCCAATATCTTATTTTTTATTTTTTATTTACTGTATTTACGGTATTTACCCACCGTCTGGCTGAAAAGGTTACTTTATTAGACATTTGTCGGCTATATATACTGTATATTTTATACTTCGTTAAAGCTTCTAATCAATACACTTATCAATGTTAACTAATTCTAGGTACAATATTAAATTACTATTGAAATATTAATTTTTATAATTTTTTTTTTTTTTTGCAAATTATCTAGAGTCAAGTTAGATTGAGAATTTATTAATCAAAAGAATATAAAGTATATATTCATTTAAACAACATAGCACATACTATAGTTAAACTTTATACAGTATATAAACTTTAATCAATTCACTATATAGTAAGTATAAAAAATTTTTAAGTTTGATCTTAAGGACAATTTATCACTTCATAATAGATTTTGAGTAAAGATTTTTTTAAACTATATATTATAGTCAATAGATTGTTACTATTAATTATTTTATCAAGTTACTAAAATATAGAAAATTATAATTATCAAATTAAAAAAACTTTTTTTTACTAATTCCTTTTTTTCTTAAAAAAATTTTTTTTTTTGATAATTTTTTTAAAAAAAAGAAGTTAATTAAAAAAAACACTATACTACTTTAAACTAATAGCTAAGGAACAAGTTGTATAATATTCAATCATATTCAAAGAAACTTATTAACCAAGCAAAAGTTTAAAGATTATATTTTATTTTATTAGCTTTATTTTTATAAGATATATATATATACAGTAAGTTAATTTACAATAAACTTAAAAGAATTTAATATCAACTTTTTAAGTTTTTAACTAGATTAATATCAGTTTATGCTTTTTTAAGTATTAAAAAAAACTTTACAAACTATAGTTTTTACTGATAAATTAAAAAAAACTCAAAGTTTACAAAGCCTAAAAAGATATTAAAAGTCTATAAAAATTAAACAATAAAGTAATCTAATTATTCAAATACTATAATATAAACATAAAAACAAGTTATAAAAATATAAATATATCAGTTTACAGCAATTGTCAAAACAATATAACAAGATTTGTTGATATTTCTTAAATTTTTTTTTTTTTAAACTAGCTTATCCTTGCTTTATTTATTAAAAAGTTTATTGTATACATTTGTCATGCATTTATAACTGACTTCTTATTATAAATTCAATTATCTAAAGAAATCATGCTTTCTTATTGATCAGTCTGTTGCCACCCTGTGAGAGCCTAATATGTCAAGAAGATCATATTAGTGTTAATAAAAAGATAATAATGAATTATGGAAAATATTTATGAATTTTTTAAAGTGATTATTGATAAATTGATTAATCAAAAGTGAGAATATATCTTTAATCCTTTAGTTTTAAAGTATTGCTTCTTTTATTTAATCTTAATTATCTGGATTTCTTTTTTTGATAAACCATGTCTTTTATTTATAATATACCAGTACAAGTTGATTGCATTTACATTATATAATTTAATCATCTGATTACATATTATAACTAAGCTCTTATACATATTTAGTAAACCTATCTATTTTTTTTTTTGAGTACCCGTAGCCAGGCTAGATCATTAGTTTATTAATCAAATGAAGACAAAAGTATATTTTTATTCGAGCAACATGATACATACTACAACTAAACTATTATTCTAATCTAACTAACTCGTCGTAAGCATAAAAGTTTCTAAGTTCAGCCTTGGGGACAATATTTTGCTCTGTAGTGTTTTTGGGTGAAAACCCTCCTAGTTTACTATATCATTGCCAGCAGGTTGTCACTGCTGTATGTCTAACCAAGCCACTGGAATACAGGAAACTACAAAAGGATGGGTTGAAAAAAAATGAAGAGGGATATCTAAAAATGTCTAAACAGACAACAAGAAAATGAAAGAGTAAAATTGAAAAAAATTATTTCCAGCTTTCTACAAAGACCTGCTTCTCAAGACCTCTTATCAATAAGAAATATTCAATTAGGATAGCCTTTCTTTTCCTGACCATCTGAGGAACTTATTCATTTTTGATCTTGATTTTCTTCTTGTATATCATCTGAGAAGACTTATCGCCTAGTGTGTACCTTTATTTTCAGGACATACTTGGTCCCAACTTTCTTTGAACAGTAATTTTTTATCCACCTGTGATGGAAGGTCGACTTATGATAAACTCCAGGTTCTTATGTAACCTAGTAGGAACTGGATTGTGTTGTTTCAGTATGATATCTTCCAGCAGTCATGCCTAATTAAAGAAATTTTACTGGTGTACATCTTCTATTACCCAAAAGGCCAGATTCCCTAGCAATCCTTTTGCCTTATAATGGTAGAAGGGTTTAGAAAGTGGTAGAGATTCTCATTGATTGCGATATCCTTCAACAACTTCTGGGGAAATATATTCTCAACTATAACCAAAGGGTTGGAGCTTAATATAGACTAGAGACCATTCGATCTTATTTCCTGATTGAGATAAAAAGGAGACCTTGGTCTTGAACTTTGCCTGACCGGAATGATAGGAGAGAAAGATCTCAACTTAA